GCAGTGAAACATAGTACAAAGCAATTGTATTTGGACACAGAAAGGTATTCTCTTTATTCATTGAATGTTGTGCTTGCATGTGAATTTGGGCTCTTCACCTTACACTGCTTGGTTATTTTTGTTTACACAGGAGAAGAGCTTTAATGGAAGTTCAAGTTCTTGCTGCGCTAGGCAAGTGCTTTATAAAGTTGTTGAGCTGGCCAGACATCTATCCTACTGTTCATGTTTACGGATGAAGATAATTTATCACTTTATTTACAGGATTTCACAAGAACATTGTTGGCTATTACTCTTCGTGGTTTGAGAATGAGAAACTTTATATACAGATGGAACTCTGTGATCACAGCCTATCCATCCAGAGGACTAAGTTATACTCTGAAGGAGAAATATTAGAAGCAATGTATCAGGTAATTTGATTATTTTGCACTTAATACTAAAACAGGTTGTCACAGTTTCCCTATTAATATGGGGATTGGGAACTGTACTTTTTCACATTGTCAAAATATACAATCATCCAAGTGAAGGTTTCTTATTCAATGCATAGTAATAGTTACTGAGCATATTAGCAGGTTGTCTTCTGGAATGCACATCCTTCACTAACCTTTATCTAGTCTCTGTTATAATCTCAATCTTAATCTAATTTGTGAGAAAGCTAATTAACATCTCAAAATTGGTCAGTGTTTAAGAAAACTTTGAGTTTGTATCACATGTTTACTTCAAGATTGGATATCGCATCATAGTTTTAAATCTTTTAAATACACACCGTCAATCCAAAAACGTGATCGCAGATGAAATATTCTACCTAATGATTTGGTGTCAAATTTAAGAGGGGGTGTTCCAGGGGTGAACTCTCATGACTGTTTTTTTCTTTTTTCTTTTTAATTTGCAGATTGCCAAGGCACTGCAGTATGTGCATGAAAGAGGGGTAGCCCATTTAGATGTAAAACCGGATAACATTTATGTGAAAAATGGTGTTTATAAGCTAGGGGACTTTGGATGTGCGACACTGCTTGACAGTAGCTTGCCAATTGAAGAGGGTGATGCACGCTATATGCCCCAAGAAATTCTCAATGAGAACTATGATCACCTTGACAAGGTTGACATCTTTTCATTGGGTGCTTCTATGTATGAGCTTATCAGAGGCTCTTCCTTGCCAGATGGCGGGCTTCATTTTCTGAACCTCAGGGAAGGAAAAATGCCTCTTCTGCCAGGTCACTCATTGCAGTTTCAGAATCTACTCAAGGTACTTCTCTGAATTTGAATGTATTTTATATTTCACCCATTCAATACTCCCATTGGAAAGGATCTGTTTGGTTTGATTTTTAAGTAATTTCATTGTTACTGGAGAGAATCTTATTTCTCTTATTTTACCAATCCACTCAACTCACAGGTCATGATGGATCCCAATCCTATCCGGCGTCCTTCAGCTAAAGATCTTGTACATAATTCCATTTTTGAAAGGAGACAAAGATATGTGAGAAACAAGTAAGCAGTGATATGGGTGGGCTCTTTTGTTTTTTGGCTTCTTAGGTATGTATATATAGCCCCCCAGTCTCCCACAGGACATTTGGCTCCCATTTCATAATTTTGATTGCTCTAATTTTGCTGAGGAGTTATGTGGAGTATCAGCATTATAGAGCGCTGATATATGGTTTTGTGAATTTTGTATGGAAGTATAAAAAATCCATGTATCCCTTATTTTGTGGCATATTTTTAATAAAAACCCTATTCATAAAAGGATTGCTATTTTGTATGAAGTTGTACATTAACTTGTATATCCCTCCAAAATAGGAATTTTTATTTCCAAAATCTTTCAAGTTGTTCGAGAATAAGAATCTTGTGTGAGATAAGGGTGTTTAAAGTGATGGGTTACTCTCCATCAAGTATGACCAGTTATGTTAAAGCATTCCAAAAATAGTTACGAAGCTATTTTAGTTAGAAAAAGGTCAACGTTTAGTGACGTTAAACCTTTTTTCGGCCGTTATATTAAAATTTAAAATCGAGAACATATACAAGACAACTTTCAAATAGTATTTACAAATCCAATCATGAACTCTATATAGATTTAGTGTTGGACTCGGGCCGGGTCGGGCCCGGGCCGGCGGTCCTATATAGCTGGACCCGGGACCGGTCCGGGTAGCCACCGGGTCCGGTCCGGGTCCGGGCCGGGCCGGGCCGGGCCTCGGGTTTGGTTAATTTTTTATTTTTTTTTTGCTTAGCTACCCATCCTTGACCCCCCCCCCCCTCACCCCCCCACACCCCAAACCCCTCCTAAACATCAAGCCCAACCCGGTGGAGCCCAAACAAATGAAAAAAACCAAAAAAAAAAAATAAATTTGACCCGAACCGGGCCCGGGCCCGGCTGGGCCGGGCCTTGTTATGGGTGACCCGAGCCCGGACCGGAAACCCACCGGGTCGGGCCTACCCGGACCGGTCACTGACCGGGCCACCGGTTCGGGCCGGGCCGGAACAGTGCTGGTCCTGGGCCGGTTCCGGGTCGGGCCACCCGGCCCGAGTCCAACCCTATATAGATTTAGAGTCAGTCACCTCATACAAAGCAACATGACTCGTTAAACTTGAACGGAAAAATTTAGGTCTAAATCGACCAGAACTGAAACTCTGTCTATCCAAAGAACTTCAAAAATCCAAACATTCAATCCAAATATATTCGGACTAAAACAGAAACAATTGCAACTAAAGAGAAAATCATATTGAAATAAAAAAAAATCCACAAAGCTCTTCCTGGTATGGAGGTGGTTCCGGAAGAGGACGAGCTCTTGCAATATGGGTGAATACAACCCCGCCACTGTCAAAATGACCGACTAAGGCTTCACGATCCAATCTCGATACAACCTCTTAGTTGTACCTCGTTCATCCGCCAACGTTATCTCTTTCGACGTAGTTGTAATTTCAAACGTTAGAACACTTAAAATTGATATAATCTGCCGCTCCAACTTCATATTAACAGGGGTGGCGGCAAACCGGCAAATCTCAATCACTATAACGAAGGAAGACGGTCGCTAGGGTTCCTCTCCGTAAAGAGAAGAGGGAATTATACGTACTAGTGACGTTCAAACTATGAAAGTGAACATTATTTTGTTCATTTGCAAGTCTAGTTCTAGACTTTTAAAATGAATATATTTCTACCACATCAAGTTAGAAACTAGAAAGTGCTAAAAATAGGGTTGGAATCGGGCCGGGCCAACCGGACCGGTCCGCTACTGTGCGGGCCTGGACCGGCCTGGTGAACCGGTTGGTTGGTTGGTTCGGGCCACCCGGCCCGGTGGGATGGCGGTTCGAGTTCGGGCCCTTCAAAAGGTGAACCGGCCCGGTCGGTTCGGGCCCGGGCCCGGGCCGGGCCAATTTTTTTTTTTTTTTTTGAATTTTTTTTAAGTTTTTGGGTTGGGCTGGGTATTTTGGACCATTTGAGGTGGTTAGGGTTGGTTTGGGGGTGAGGGGGGGGGGTTGGGGGTTAACTAGGAAAAGCCAAAAAAAATAGAACTGAGGTCCGGCCCGGCCCGGACCCGGGGGTTACCCGAGCCGGTTCCGGGCCTCCCATATCTTGAACCGAGGCCCGACCGGTTCAAGGCCCGAACCGGGCCCGGCCCGAACCGAGTCCATCCCTAGCTAAAAACTTGAATGCACTTTTACTGCGGTACAGTTGAGTTGAAACTAAATGTGAACAAATGATAGGGTCCACTTTCATGTTATAAAAAGGCAGTTACAGACTCACGTACACTCGATTCAAATATAAAATGTTTTTATTTGAATTGAAATTTGAATATTTGATGGTCTCTTTAAATCTAGTCTGAATTGATCTAATCTAATAAATGTTTCGTATTTAACTATTTATGTAATTTATAACTATAGAAACCTATTCTGGTCTGATTTGATCAGAACTCATCTGATCTGGTATGGTCTCAAACTGAAAACAATCTAAGTAAAAACATCCCGTCGGACATCGTCAAACTTTTCGGGCGTGATTATCCACCGTTAGTCAGAGCCATCTGAGGATGACATTTATTGTATATATAAATATAAATAAATATGGTTGAAGGAAAAAATATGGTTGAAGAAATAAATATATGGAAGGAATATTGTACTATATAGCAAGCTTACAAGGAGATGCATGTGTATTTTGTAATTATTTGTCTTCATTAACAACGTGCGAACTTTAATTGCATCAGCTGAATAAGATTTTTCACAAATTCAATTCCATATATAAACATGTTTAAAAATTGTTCAAAAATATGTTTGAGAAAAGAGTAAAATACACTAATGATCTTTAAACTATCATTATTTTGTCATTTTGATCTCTAAATTAATAAATCTGTCATTTTAATTTTTGTTCTAGTTATTTCTTACCAAGTCACGCATGTTTAACAAATTATGGTTAAGACATTCACAACTTGAAAAAAAAAACCGCCTCAAGAAAAAGACCAGACTTTTTATAGCGGAAAGTGGAAACTTTCATTTGCTATGCGTTTTATTATTAACCCTTGGTCTTATAAAATGGTTGAAAAGTAAAAGTTGTGGTTGAGATTTGAATAGAATAAAGTAAAATGATATGACTTTGTCAAAAAAAAGGAAACATGACACTCATTTGAGACAACCCAAAAAAGGATGTCGAACGATCAAAATGGGACGGATGGAGTATAATAATTCATTTCTCTTGTTTAATTTTGTGTGCATGATCCCATGTGAGTTGTTTAATCCTCTCTAACAAATAAAGACGTGATACATATTAATTTTAATTATATTTAAATATATTTATGCTATGTAAAACATATTGCCAATTGCCACGTGAACAATCGTGCGAAAAATAATATATGCATCACGTCTTCATATATTAATAAGAGGGAATCAAAAACTTGATTATGTGAAAATGTACTAACAAAATTAAACAAGAGAACAAGGATCGTTGTTGTTTTCGTTATCGTTGTCACCGCCGTCGTCATGGTATGTGAATTGCTAAAGTGACCAAGTATACAATTGTCAAGTTGTGGTTTAAGACGATAACTTTTCTATTCAAATTATTTCCGCCACGCAACACACGAGTGGAATACTAGTTAGACAAATGCAAAAATGACACTGGCACTCTTTGATACATATATTGATACTTGATCTTTCTTTGCATAAACCCCTAATAAAGTAGAATTCAAATCTAAATTTATTACAGCTAAAGAGGAGAATAAAACTATACCTGTATGCTTTCTGTTTCAGATATTTAAACTTTCAATAAAAAGAAACACAAAAACTTGCAGTTCATACCTTCACAGATCCGAATACGAATAACTCAAAGGTTACCTCCATTTTCATTCAGCCAACATATCTGACTGCATCACCTGAAACTCGTGAACTACAAAGTTATCTGACTTACCAAGCATCTCCAAGTTCTCATTATGTGTGACATCCATGTTTGCTTGCTTGTGACACACAAAATTACTATTATCTGCAGCCACAGTTTCTAAAGGAAACGAATCTTTGTTCTTCCTACGCACCCGCCTAGAAGCTGTTGCTGTTGAACCATTACCACCCTTTCTTTTATTGCTTGTACCAAGGAATCCATATGCAAATGCCTCCAACACTTTAGCACTTGGCCTGTTTCTGGTGCTTTGCCTCCTGCTTGCTATGGCTGACTGGTTTGCTGTAATGGCGACACCTTCAGATGTAGAAAAAGGTTTCGCACCAGGTACAATATTATCACATTTATGCAACACATTTTTTATAAACTGTTTGTCAGGAATGACACTAGAATTGTCGACTGATTGGGCTGGTCCATGAGTATTCTTAATTGGATTTCTTTCACTACTTTTTTCACTGTCGCACGCAGCAGAACTGCCAGACAATGAGCTCTGAGACAGTCCAACTACAAATGATGAATGACCAATTTCTCCTCTGTTTAATAATTCATCTATCACCGTGCTTTGACTATTATGGCTGGACTCTTTGTAGTTGGTAATAGATGATAAATTTGACATCTCATGGAGTTTCACCTCATGGCTAGATTGAACATCCATAGTTTGGCTAGACACTTGGCAGACATTGGCATTCTTATCACAACTGCTTTGTTCTTCTTTATAGTTCTTTGAACATGAAATATCGGGCAATTGAGTGTCTAAAGTGCTTACTTCTTCCATAACCACAGAAACCAGTCCATTTGACAGTTGGTTGCTTAGTACATCAAAACCATCATTTGGTTGACCATAATATGGTTCAACAGAGCCTCCTTCCACACTATCTGAACTACTCTCTTCACTACGAGGACCACATGGAGTGAAACTGAGAGGGACAATAGGCAAACTCCTGAGTTCCCTTACTCTAACTATTCCTTCCCCGGTATACAAGCTGGTATCTACAACTGTGAATGTCATGTAATTATGTTTTTGAGTTGAGCTTCGTGGCTGGAGGTAAGAATGGCGACGAGGATTCAATGAAACATCTGGATCCTCTCCGATCTCAGGACCTGTCGAGCATTTCCCATTCAGACTTCCGCCGTCATCTGGATTTACTTCAAGTTCAAGAAGAGAAGGTGATGAGGCAACTTTCTGCAAAACATCAGCGACTGAATCGAAAAAGTGGATTCCTTTCTCTAATCTTCTTGAAAATTTCTTGACACCTGGCACAAGAAAAACTAAAGATTGCTTTGTACCAGCATATACGACATCACTAGGCTGCTCTGAATGCCATCCCCGTGCTAAAAGACGAGGCCAAATGGCTTCCCAGAAAAGATCGTTGGATCGAGCTTTGCTTAGACGAAAATTGCCAGTCAATAATTTGACAATTTCAGTTGTTGCAAGAGAAGAGCATGCTTTTCCTATAGGAACTTCAGAACGGACAGGTAAAGAAGGATTGGCTTTTGTTGACTCCAAAGCGGTTCCGGTCAGATCCTTCTTTCCTTTGCCCAGGGCTACAGCTTCTACGAAGTTGTTGATGCCGACCTTCTCTTTCAAAGAGAATACATACTCTTCAAGCGTCATCTTTCCGTCTCCAAACAGTTTAGAGATCTAAAACAGTCTGAATCAATAACCAGAGTATGGGAGAGCAAATATGATTCAACAAACTAATTAAGATGAAAATGTGCATTACCATCATGTTGACCAACGAACACTCTCTCTCCTCGGGATCTAGTCACATAGTAGTATATGCTAAAAGACACACGTCGAGAAAGACCTATTCTTTCTGTTAAATAATAAACTACTACTTTTATTGAAAGTTTGATGCAACTAGCAACTTACAACTGCATGAGTTCTAGAGGATATCTCAATGCTTACATAGAGAATAATGTAACTAAACTTGGTAGGAATACAAAACCTAGTAGGAATACGAAGCTAAAATAAATTACTGGTTTCATTGATATAACTTTGAGCTTACAACTCCATGATTCCTAGAGGCTATTATAATGCTTACATAGGCAAATACTGTAACTAAACCTAGTGGAAATAGGAAACTACCAAACTATAATACTACTAAAACTATGAAAGTTATATCACTGCTTTAGCATTTCTCTATTTATTAGACAGTCATCAAATAACTTTGGTGCCTAGTCTTTGGTCTTAGTTTATAACTTGACAATGCTAGTGATTCTCAATCTCACTTTCTGCAGAAAATGAACACATAACTCGTCTCAACACATGGCACATTTAGTAACATTATGCCCAAAAGTCTGTAAGAGATTACAGCCAAAGATTGATTTTTTTTACGTTCAGAACAAAAAAACAAGAAATAATTATATTTTAGCTGTGGTCATGGATTTATTGATTTCCTGGAGCTTTAACTCTTTCCTAACTTCGAAAAGATCTGACCACCAGATAATACGCCTGTCAACTTCCAGAACCTTATCCCCTTCCTTTTAAGAAGGAAATAAGAGTTTGATCCTAAAAGTACAATTGAAGTGTTTTATACAAATCTTTAAAGTCTAAAAATGCATCAACATTCACTGTCTTGTAATAAGAATCTATTGGATTCACACTATGGCCTATCTCAGATTAGAAACTAAAAGAATCTGATTCTGATAATACACTGTTCACAGCTATGAAACTTTCATACACTGTCCTCATTTATAAGATTTATGTATCACCAAACAATCCAGTGGTTCTAAAACTATATTTTTTATTTGAATATATAATTGAACTGCATTAAACAAAGCATAGAAGTAATTAAGGAATTACTATTATGATTTTAAACTGCAGAAAGGAGTCTGATTACTTTCAATCATAAAATTCAGGTCAACCTTTTTTAAGTTACTTGTGCAAAAGAGAGCGCAGATAGTGAGTACCTCAGCCAACATATAATAACATTCCTCAGAGACACGGGACGACAATCGGGACATGAGCTCCTGCTGCCTCCAGCCCATGAAAATTCTTTGACCATATATGCACCGCCTCCCTTTTACCTTGCGACAATCAGACCATCTCCGATAATCTCTAGATCTGTAAAACTTCCCATAATAGTATGACAATATGTCTCCCATTTGTTTACTCCCTATAAGCCTACTAACAACAGAAAGGTTTTTCCCAAAAATATACAAGCCAAGGAGGAAGCTAGAATATTCAATGCCGTTCCAATCTTCATTAGGTATGCCCGGAACAAGATAGCAGCCATCCCAATGATCAGTGTGAGCTTTCTGTCCAATGATTTCACTCAAAACCACAGATGGAACACATTGTATCCCGTCTGATTTTTCCCCATTCTCCATAAAATCAAGCAACGAGACGGTTTTGGTCCCTCCATTGACACTGTCTGAAGTAATTCTCCCCTTCTTGTTGTTTTCAAATCTTAAATTACCACAAGCATCCTTAAGCTCGCCTCTTTTGTCCTCACTCTTATCATATATCCACATGACTGGAATAGGTAAATCCATAGGGTAAGAATTTGAAATGACATGTTTAATGCTTATATTGTATGATTCACTTGCAAGCTGCCCATAGCCACACATGTCCAGAAGAGGAGGGATTTCTGCCTGGTATTCAGTGCCAACTCGAGGAAACAGTTCAGGATCTTCAAAAATATAGTTTGATCCAGACGATCTCTCAGATGTGTAGACTTCAGTAGATTTACTTGTGCCATCCATAGTCCTTTAAATTCTACTATACCTAAGTGCATAAAATATGATTAAACATAATGCAGGATATTTTCTGGGGGGGAACTGCTACCGTTTTGAATTCTATTCACATCCATTCTAACAAAATACTTTAACCTCTTCCCCAATAATGTATAAACTAATATTATTAACATACTAAGAAATTATACTATAGAAGAGAAAAAATGATTTTGAATATGACAAAAATTTATTACGCTAAATTAGAGGTTAAAAGAAGTTATGTTCATCATATTAATAGTAAAGGTGAAGTTTATTTATTTAGGGATGAGAAGTAACACATTTCTTCAAATATGATCATCATTATTTTTCCATAATATGCCTCATTTACTTCAAGAAAACGAACTATTAATTACTTTTATTCAAGACAAGGACAATCCTATTTGCCTATTTGGATAAATGTGTTACTCCTGCGTGCTAGTCATATTTTGAGCAATCCTTTCCAAAATAATCAGCATTAAGAAAATAAAAGCTCCCAAGCATGAAGGATAATCTGTAAATCAATATTATCAGTTAATCTATAAAAAGGCACGCAATGAAATGAGCTATAAAGGAAATGTATGCTGGCTAAACAACAAAGCAGAACTACGTGCACAGAGCAAAAGACAGAGAAGAGCAGGAAGGAAAAAAGAGCATACATAAACTAAACCGGAAGATCTGCCTGCAAAAAATACAAATGGGTTGAAAACTGTATGCATCAATTGACCTTTCTCGTCAACTAAACCGTACACTTGAACAAAAAAATCAATTCAGACATGAAAAACAAAAATAAAAACTACCCTTTTGCATGCTAGAGAGAGAAGAAAGCTCAGACCTCTTGGTGTGGGATCAAAAGCCAAGAAGTTGAGTTGTAACGAAGGGCTAAGCTTTCGACAAGAAGACTTGTCGAAGAGAGATAATAAATATGAAGTGTATGAACTGTTTTTTTTTTCTTTCTTTTCCTTTTATATTCTCCGGTTTGCTTTTATTATACTGAGTACTACATAGAAAAGAAGAATACTCGTAATTATTTTCTACTACCCCTTCACTTTGGGCTCTATCAATTAAGTGAAAAATAAGAATAATAAAAATTATGTAATTGAAGTTTGTGCAAATAAGAGAAAAATGAGCAGAATCACAAAATGTTTATTTAATTAAAAGTGACAAAGTTTTTAGGGACAAACAAAAAGGGAAAATTGGCAAAGTCCAATGAGACGGAAGGAGTATTTGTTTTGCTGAGTTATGAGTAAACAAGAGCGCGGAGCGAGAATAGTTTAAGGCTTTGTTGGGTTCGGATTTGTGTCTTTGGGCAAAGACCAATAGCGGTGTATATATCGGTTTTTGTTCGATTTTTATCGTTTTCGATTTGATTCAATTGGCAATGGCGTTGAAGAATTATTACCAAATAAAAATCATACTACGTACTCCGTACTATTTTCTGTTTTGTTCGGTTTGATTTAGTTTGGTTGGTTTGATTTGGATTTGTTATTTTTTAAAAATATATGAAAGTTTTGTTGAATTTTTTAGTTTGATTCAGTTTTTATCGGTTTAGATTCAGTTCAATTTAATAAGAATTGGAAGAAGTACTCTCAAACTCAAAAGAAATTACATATGATCTGTCCATTTGAGTGGGAGACCATAGACCCAAACGGATTAAGGCTCCTTCTTACCAAACACACTGAAGTCTCAATCTGAAATTAAGCACTCATATTTGATGTTCTTTTCTTGCCTTTACCCTTCTAACCTATTCTCGATGTTCCCATTTATGAAAAACATATGTTCCAATAACAATGTTATTAAGTAAATAAATTTATATACAAAACACCAATAAGATTATTACAAGTATACCTTTATGATAACTTTGGATAAAAAGTTACTAGCGCATCTTTATTTATTATTCTTATTTTAGTTAATATAAAGGCACTATTTTTTATCAAAAGTCATAATATTCTTTTCTTCCCACTAAACCACTTCCCTTCTTTACAAATAAATGTTATTTGATCTAAAAAATTAATTCTTTATTTATGTAATATTATTTGTGGTTTGAATTTATAGTCATACATACATGTGCACTATGTTAAAGAATTATTTATTGTGTGGAAATAAGTAAACCTGTTATTAACGAGATGAGTGATATGAAAAATTTCATAATAGGAGTACAAATAATGTGAATATGTGATATTACAAAATAGGAGTAAAATGTTATTGTTATGAGAAAATTACAATTATTCTGAAATTACATTGTCATGTTTTGGTACTCATATCAATATGAGTTTTGAAACTTATCATTAGTTTTACTCCTATATAAGATTGGTACAAAAAAAATGCAATTAAAAAACCAATTATTTATTCCGCTAAGATTAATGTGGTTAAACAAGGCAGAAATATTATATTGGTGAATATGTATATTTTAAACTCTTTATCTTCAAATAATTTGAGAAAATGTTATATATCATTTTTATTTTCAAATAATTATCCTTTGATTTGCCATTTCTTATGGTTTAATGTACCAACATTTTTTTCTAAATCACTTCAATTATAAATCAAAGTTATTTTTCATTGTCTAGATTTAAATTGTGATATATTTAAATTAAATGTCGTTGTGTATGCATTAATGGATTTTTTTAATTGAATTATTCCTTAATAGAATCTCGTAAAATATTAGTATTGTTGTGAATTGTGATTGGGTATCATTCCAAAGTAACCTTTGGATGTTTTTTTATTGGAAGTAACATTTGGATGTTAAGTCTTGTATTTGGGTATCAAAGCTTTTTTGGGATGTTCTTTATTTGATCAATTTATATACATTTACTGATTTACTTAAACTTACAGCAAGAAAAATATTTATTTCATTGCAGAGTAGCTTTATAACTTTGGTGTCGTTTTGCTAATTAACTAGCAAAGCACCCATGCATACGCACGGGAAAATAGTTGATCCTTATATATTTATGTTCATGATCTAATTAAATATAACAATGTTTTTTTTAGAATTCTATATCATTTAAAAATGGAGTACAATAAGTTAATATCAAAATGCATAAATCCATACCACAAATATTCAAAGTAAAAGAAAATTAAAGTAAAAAAAATCAACACTATCCATTAGAATTTGATACATATGTAATAATTACTATTGATGGCAACAAATAATAAAATACTGAACCTAATTGTTAGGATGTTTTTACTTGGACTGTAATTTGCTGGTCTGGTCTGGTCTGGTCTGTTTTAGTCTGGTCTGGTCTGGTCTGGTCTGGTCTGAAATTTCATTTTTTATAATTTTTGCATAAAGATTTTATTTTTTATATATATATTATAATCCATAAATAATTATATTTTATTCATTTATAATTAATAGTAATAACAGTAATAATAGTAATAATAGTAATCATAATAACAATAACGATGATGATGACGACGACAATGACGATGACGACGACGAAGCTGATGATGATGATGATCATAATAATAATAATAATAATAATAATCATAATAATGATGATGATGATGATGATAACGATAACGATAACGATAACGATAACGATAATGATAATGATAATGATAATGATAATGATAATAATGATAATGATGATGATGATGATGATGATGATGATGATGATGACGACGATGATAATGATAATGATAATGATAATGATAATGATAATGATAATGATAATGATAATGATAATGATAATGATAATGATAATGATAATGATAATGATAATGATAATGAGTAAACTAGACTTAAGGAATAAGATGCTCAGTTAAAAGCGCATTTATCTTCAAGACTTCATTTGAATGTCTTCCCGATTTAAGTTTTATCTGAAATTTGGTATGAGTAAACTAGACTTAAGGAATAAGATGCTCAAAAAATTTCATCAAAAAAATCCACCGTGAACTGCCCCAAAAGGCGATGGCCGGACAATAAGACGTTATAAGGACTTATTTGACCCCTTTTATGCAACTTCGAGCACCAAACTGACCCTTACCTCGTAATAATACTAATAATACTAATAATAACAACAATGATAATGATGATGACGACGACGACGATGATGATGATGATGATGATGATAAAATATGGCTTGGTCTGGTATGGTCTGTTTTAGTCTGGTCTGGTCTGTTTTGGTCTGGTCTAGTCTGGTCTGAGATGAATTACAGTCCAAGTAAAAACAATCCTAGAGTTTTGAAAAATTGATTTAAAGAGAACTTTTAACATCTAATGCTTCTCTTCTTATAATTTATTAATAAAATCATCAATCCATATTTTCTTCTCGATAACGCCATACATATAAAGCTTTACATGACTAAAATATGTCTAGGTAGAAAAATTTCTTTCTTTTTCTAGTGATAGAGTTAGAACTTTATTGATTGTTATCACATATATGTGACAATTATAGAAAAATGTCTTCACATGAGCTTAAAAGGTCTTGAGATAGAAAATATGAGAGAGGAAATTCTCCCGATCAGTTATTATTTGATTATCTTATACCTAAAAACACCACATATGAAAAAAAAAATCCCGCTCAATTATTAGTCTGCTAACCTTATATTTAAAAGCACTACATCTGAGAGTGAAATTTTCCATCTCAATTATTAATCCACTTATCTTATTTTATACCTAAAACACTACATATGAGAGTATTTTTCCACTCAACTATTATTAATCAGTTTATCTTCTTACACATAAAAGAACTACATATGAGACAGAAAATATACATGTCAATTATTAGTTTGATGATCTTATCTTATACCAAAAAGCACTACAAATGAGAGAGAAATTTTTTCCGCTCAATTATTAGTTCATTTATCTTATATCTAAAAATACTAAATATGAGAGAGAGAATTCTCCCGCTCAATTATTAGTTTGCCTGTCTGCCTTATATACTTAAAGGTAATACATATGAGCGAGAAAATTTTCCCGATTAATTATTAATGCGATTATATTATACGTAAAAGCACTTCATATGAGGCGGAGAAATTTTTTTCACTGGATTATTAACTCGCTTATCTTATAGCAAAAAGCACTACATACACGTAAGAGAGAAAATTCTTCTGTTCAATTATTTGTCCGCTAATCTTATCTTATACCAAAAAGCCGCACTACACGTGAGAGAGAAAATTCTCCCGTTCATATATTTGTCCGCTTATCTTATACAGAGTATTTAAGAGTATTGCGTATGAAAGAGAGAATTCTCTCGCTAAATTATTAGTCTGCTTATTTTATTCATAAGAATACTACGTATGAGAGAGAAAATTCTCATGTTCAATCATTAATTCGCTCATGCTATACCTAAAAGCATTATACGATAGTATATGAGAGACATAATTCGCTCTTTCAATTATTAGTCTGTTTATCTTTTCTTATACCCAAAAGCACTACATATATGAGAGAAAATGTCATCACTCAAAAATATATCAAATTTCATATTTTTTTATTATCTTTCATATGACAACAATATTGTATATATAAATATATAAATAATAATTTAATTCTTTAATAAAACTCATGATTTATAGTGTTGTAACTTATTCATTTGTCCAGTTTACGATCATTTTCCGTGCACATTAATCTAGAGTGATATGTTAGAGTAAAATTGCAAAATTTCCAGTGCAAAGAATAAAATCATAAATAGAAGTAATAGAATTTGTGCGGTTTTATTATAAGTTATCGCTTCGGATTAATAGTGCGCATGGTAAAAAAAGATCATAAACTAAATACATTAATAGATTTAATATTTTTTATTTATATACTTCCTCTGTCTCTTAAAACATTGTAAAGTTTGATCGGTATAGAGAATAATAAAGTAAAAAACTGTGTAATTGAAAGTTGTGCGGAGGAGAGAGAAATAAAAGGAACTACAAAATAATTGATTAGAAGAGAAAATGGAAAAGTTTTTGGGACAACAGAAAGAGAAAAGATGACAAAGTTTTAAGGGACGGAGGAAGTATATGCAATATTAGTGCCGTGTG